GAAAGAGTAACTCAGTTCTGAGGAGCTCAGAAGACTCTGGCCCACCTAGCTGGGCTACTCCAAACAGGCAGCCACCCCTTCGCGGCCCCTGGACCTGCTCAGAACACCCCTTCCCCAAAGGCTGGTCTCCCACAGCAACAGCCTGTGCTGAGCCCAGCTGCTGAGCACCTATGAGCAAGGGCTCCAACAGCTTTTTTTTTTTTTTGCGGTACGCGGGCCTCTCACTGCTGTGGCCTCTCCCGTTGCGGAGCACAGGCTCTGGACGCGCAGGCTCAGCGGCCATGGCTCATGGGTCCAGCCGCTCCACGGCACGTGGGATCTTCCCGGACTGGGGCACGAACCCATGCCCCCTGCATCGGCAGGCGGACTCTCAACCACTGCGCCACCAGGGAAGCCCTCCAACAGCTTTTAAAAGGACCTGGACTCTTGCTAGCATCCTTCCGGCTTGGAGGGTGTGTGAAGGAGTCCTTCTGGTCCCTTGCACCCAGCCCCTCCCAGCCCTTCAGGGAGCAGTGCAAGTGGGATGCGAATGAGCAAAGCAGACATCAGCTGGTGTCTCTGGGCTGCTTGAAGCTGCTGCTCTGGGCCTCTGGGATCTCTTCAGAGCAGCACCAACACAAAAACTGCTTTCTCATCAGACGCCGGCCTCTCCAGGCTACACTGGGGATCCGCTGGAGCTTTACAGCTGCTTCTGTGGTAGTGGTGGGCCCCGCGGCTTTGGAGAGTCCCCAGCCTCACACTTTTGCACATCCCAACCCAACTCACGCTTCAAGGAGCACAGACGACTCAAATCTGAACCCGTCCACTTCTCCTACAGGAAGGACGTCCTTCCCAGAAATTTTAGGAAATCCCTACTCTGTATCATAGGACGCTCTGCTGCACTGTTCTTCGTCTAGCTTTTCATTCAAGTGTTTGCTGAGCACTGACTAAGGGAGCAGCGCTGAGGAGGGTACTCAGCAGAAGTAAAAGACCTAGTCCCTACACTCCAGAGAAACCACAAACCAGCTGGGGAAACGGGGTGTGGACCCTCAGAACTTGAAGCCACTACACAAAGAAGGACCTTGTTAATTGCAAGGCTGAGTGATGGACAGTCAATGTTTCAGGAGTTCGGAGAAGATGGAGAACAGGGCCATGGCCTGGGCTGCTCGGCTTGGCTGGGAGAATGGAAAGGCGAGAACAGACTTGAGAGAATAGACTTAAGAGGATATTTCTAAGGACACACTGATAGGCCCCTTCCAACTCTGTTTCCAGTCTAGGTGCCCAAGAAAGCAGCGGTATCAGTGAGAACAGGGGGTTGGAGTGGCCCTGATTAAGGGAAGGGTGATTGCATGAAGTGTTTCTTTCTAGTTTCTGTATTCTGATGCTTTGAAATTTGGGGCCTTGCTGACCCTAGAGGGACTTCCTAGAGATAATAAAGGACTCACCTGAGATCCTGCCTTTCATATGCAAACCAAACAATCCAAGGCCCACACCCCCAGTTATCTCCTTTATCTGCTCTCACACTCCAGGCCACTCTCCCCCTGCCCTAATTACCCCAGGGCCACGTACTAGATGACTCAGGACAGCCCCTATGCCCCAGAGCCTGATGAAATTATTCAAACTAGCCAACCCTAAGCCTGTTTACCCTGCTTCACCTCTTCCTTCCCATGGAAGAGACAATAAAGGCTCCTGCCCACAGTTCCCCTTACTCCCTCTGCCGCATGACCCAACCTGGTGCTTCCCTGCATGTCCCCAGATGCTGTGTGCGCCCCTCCCACTGAGATCTGTGAGTATAACAATCTATCTTTTTAATGGCAGTTTTTTCCTGATCTGTTGGCTTCACCATACCTCAATTATAATAAAACCTACATTTAAAAGCAGTGATGGGGCTTCCCTGGTGGCGCAGTGGTTGAGAGTCCGCCTGCCGATGCAGGGGACACGGGTTCGTGCCCCGGTCCGGGAGGATCCCACATGCCGCGGAGCGGCTGGGACCGTGAGCCATGGCCGCTGAGCCTGCGCGTCCGCGTCCGGAGCCTGTGCTCCGCAACTGGGAGAGGCCACAACAGTGAGAGGCCCGCATACCGCAAAAAAACAAAAACAGACAAAAAAAACAGTGATGGATTCAGTTTGGGACAGACTGAATATTTTTCTAGTTATTTCATGTGCGTCCGGGAGAAAGCAAGGTACAATGCATACAGCCAAGGAATCAGAAGTCTTGAGTTCAAGTCCTACCCTCTCCTTTCTACTTACAGAGCTTTGCATGAGTCGCTTAACTTCTCAGGTCCTCACTTTCCTTACCTGTAATGTGGAAGGCTACGCTATAAGAGTCTCGTGTGAGACAATATAAGACAACGAATCCAAAGTGTCTTCTCAACTGTAGAGTTAAGATGTTACCGTAATTCCCTAGCCTGGTGTACTGGAAAGTCCTTGGCTGTGGGAACCATCTCATAAACTTCTCTCGGGCCCATCACTCAGTGATGTGCACATAGTCAAGGCTGAAGAAAGTACCATTAAGTGACAGATGCCTCAGATGGGAAGGAAGGAAGTCCCTCTCTTTCCCAACCGTTCCCATCCTAGCCTTACCTCCCTGGTGGAACTCTCCACAAACGGCCCCCCAAACATGGCAGCCATCCAGTCACAGCTGGAAATCAACAGGGGCTTGTGGGCGCTGATGGTGCCATCATCCAGGATGAAGGTCACATCTGTCCGCGTGGAGAAGAGGCGTCACGTGAGCACGTGGGGAAAGAATATGGGACAACCAACCCCAAGGGTCAACAGTGCACCCAGACAACCTGCTTCCTTCCGAGCCACAGGCTGTGAAGCACAATGTGACCACGCTCTCAGGCTGGGGACACTGGTCTTCAGGGGCAGAGCCACTGTATCTCCAGGACATCAGTAGCTGAGGTGACTTAGAAAGCTACTTGGACCTCAGAAGGCTCCTGGAAGGAACTCCCCGGCCTTCTGGACATCAGCTCCTAAGCACGTTCCATACCTGAGAAGGTGCCTTTTGCCAAGCACTCCTTAACCCGGTTGGTCCGGCGGACGTGGAAGGCCTTGGTGATCTCCTGGTTCATGAAGGCCTCATTGTTGAGAATGTTGGCCACCATCATGCGCAGATCAAAGACCTCGAGCAGCTCAGCAATGTGGGCGATGTGCATAAGGTCCCGCTCATTCTCGTCCAGCTCCCCTGTGTACAGGTACTTGAGAACAGCCCGGAAGGGCCCCGGCTGGATGGAGTTGTCCATTTTCACCACCACCATCAGCCGGGATTTATAAGTCAGTGGATCCTCTGCCATCTCTTCCTGGATGCTCACAAAAGCTCGGCTCCAGGAAGACAGCACTCGACCCCTCCCAGGCAGGTACCCTGTCCCACTGCCCCGTAGGATCCCATCGCTAGTTGAAGCCCGGAGCCCGGCGGGCCCGCAGCCCCGGCTCTCCTCCACGCTCTCGCACACATCAAAGCTGGCTGCCCGAAGCAGGAAGTCCCGGCCATGGTGGTGGTGGTGATGGTGGTGGTGTTGATCAGGGCGACCCCGGTGGTCCTCCGGGCAGGGGCCCCCTGACCCTGAGGGGCCCCCCAGATCCCCCTCACTCAGGTCCATGAGGAACAGGTCGTAGAACTTGGAGGAGGAAGTGGAGAGGTAGATCTTGTGGGCAAAGATGCGCACACGCTCCTGCAGCACCAGGATGACGTCCGCGCACAGCGGGTCCTCCAGGAGGTGGGCGGGGCACTCCTCGCTGCTGGAGGGGGCATCAGGCACCACAATGATGGGGGGAGGCGGCTTGGGGGGCAGGAAGGGCGCCTGCAGCAGAGGCCGCTGCACATTGCGGAGGTGGGACTTCCAGAACTGCAGGTGCCGGCGGGAGATGAGCGCTGCACGGATGGCGTTGTCAAAGACGTCCTTGATGCCGAACTGGGCCACCACGCTGGTCTCGTAGTAGGGGATGCCCAGCTCCTTGGCCACCTCCCGACCCTTCTCTGGGGGAAGGATCTCATTGGGCTTGATGGGCCTGGCAGGTTCAAGAAGGGAAGCCAAATTCATGTTGGTGGTAAAGAGTGGGGGGCAGGGAGAGGCAGCTCTCCAGAGCCTGTCTGTTTTTCACCAGGCTGGAGGGTCTCTGCTTGGGATCTGTGTCCTAAGACTCATTCCTGCCCTACTCATTTCCACTCCCTTTCTCCTCTGTCTCGCTAAATCCTACTAGTCCTTCAAGGCTCACTTCCAATCGCCTCTTCTTCCAGGAAGCCCTCCATATCTATGCCAGGCCCTGGTGATCTCCCCAGCTCGAAACAGTGGTAGCAATAACCACCTGTCTGGCAATTGGCATGCAACATTCCACGTTGGTTTTTAACATGTTCACCTATCAAGTTCATCTCCCAGCAAGATTATAAGCTCCTTTCATGGAAAGACTCCCTCTCCTTCTCTCCTCATGATGCTTAGCCCAGTATGGCCCACTCAGTGTGTGACAGATGGATAGCTGGATGGATAGATGATGGATGGATGGATGGATGGATGGATGGATGAATGAAAGAATGAGAACTCTTGTTGTCTCCCTACATGAGCTTGCTTCACATGGAGGGAGAGATGTGAGGCTTAGTGGATTCCCTCAGGACTGAGCAGGAAGCCTGGAGACACGCCCCACACCCCATCTGCCGCCTTCCCCTCCCTAGGCACCAGCACCCCCTACCTAGCCAAGGGTCTCCTGGCCCTATTGACAGCCTCCAGGTCGGCGTAGCGCAGGTCCAGCTGGCAGCCCACCAAGATGACAGGTGCTCGGGGGCAGAAGTGTTTGATTTCTGGGTACCACATGGTCTTGACATGGTGGAGGGAGTTGGGGTTGGCAATGGAGAAGCACAGAACCACCACATCGGATCTGGCGGTGGGAGAGTGAGGTTACACGCAAAGAAAGCTAGTGGTAGGTTACCTGCCCCTGGAACGAGGGAGAACACACATACCCACCTGCACCCCCTACGCTACAGTCCCACGTCTGTCATATGGATCTGCTCACATGATCTTACCCAAAACGTATACTAACAGAACCTCTAGTTTATGGACCCCTAGCTTAGCATTTTAGAGCTTCCAAAGACTCCTGTTTTGACCTCACAGCTCTCCTGTGAGTTAGAAATGACCACTTTTTACCATCTCATCTGCGAAAACTCATCTCAGAACAGCTCTCCTAATTGCTCAGAGTCCCAGAGCCACTGCTTAACAGGGTAGGACTCAAACCAGGCGTCCTGATCGCAAGCCACCCAGGCTGCCGCCCCCTCACAGGTCTGCCCGTGCTACTTTCTCCACTCCTTCCTGCCAGGCTCAGTGTCACAGAGGCGCTTCATACCTCGGGGAAAGCAGGGAAAAGCCATCCACTTGGCTCCCCGCAGGCAGCCGGGGGCCTTCCCTACCTCCCATAAGCAAAGCGACGGTCTTTGTGGTGATCTCCAAAGGTGTCCCAGAGACGGAGGGACACGCTGACATCATCTACCACGTCTCGGGAACGTTCCAGCACCTGTGGGGGCAGGGAGGGGGACAAGAATCTAGGGCAACGGTTCTTGGAGGCCCTGTGTGCCTGCTCACTCCTGAGGGTCCTGCAACATGGGGGCTGGAGGGACAGCTAGTGCCTCCCAACGTGTGCCTTAAAACACCTTCATCCAGGTGCCATCTCTGCAGACTCACTAACAAGAGCTGGCCAGGAGGTGAGAGACTCTCAGAGGGCAGACCGTTATGGCAGTGGACGGGATCTCTCAGGGGAGCCTGCCCTTGTTCCCAACTGTACCTGCCAACTGGACACTTCCAAGCCTCTGATCTTTTGGTATCATTAGCTGGCAGCTTCTTTCCTACCGCCAGCTCTCATCTCTCCAAAGCACCACCCCTTTCCCCCTTCAGGGCTCCCCATTATTGGGGGCTATGATTGCACAAGATGCTACGCCCCAGGCACCAGCTCAGCCGTGTAAAACACAAAGGGCCAAGGACCCCTCCCCTGGAGGGGGGCACTCCTCTCAGGCCTCCCTCCCAGGGCTCCTTGCTCTTTAGCTGCCTCCACCCGACTCCTAAGGGGCTTCCGTGAGCTAGGCACAGGCCCCGTTTGGAGTGATCCCTGGGGAAGAAGCCCAGATGCGCGGCGTGGACGCCCAGCCTTACCTCCTGACACACCCGGTACTGGTCGATGGCCCAAACTGTGGGCACATGGGTGGCTAGCAGCTGGTACTGGGTGAGGGTGGCATTGCAGGCCCGGGCACAGATGAGCCTGGTCTTGCCCACAGCGTTGTCCCCCACTACCACGCACTTGATGGTCTCTACGTTTGGCCTTTCATAATCCATGTCAGAATCCATTAACTGGGACCTGAGGGAGAGGAGAGAAGCGGTGAAGACAGCTTTGCAATGCCAGCCCCCGGAGCGCCGGGGCCAGCTGCTCTCCTCAGCCAGGGCTGCCCCCTCTCCAAGCATCTGAGCGGAGAGGAGGAGGAAGGAGCGGGCGGCTTTCTGGCCAAGAGCTCTGCAGGGGCCGAGGAGACGGGAGCCCCTTCAGGCTGAGAGGCGCAGCTCCACCAGGTGAACCTCTGGTCTCCCTCCTGTTGCCGCCATCCTCCGGTGGGGCTTCGGGATGGGGGGAATGCCTGAGAGAGATGCCAAGGCGGAGTCTGCCCAGGGCCAGTCCCCAGCCTCCCGGGAAGAGAAGTGTCTGCCTAGGAAGCTCAGTCATCATCCGCTCTCCTTCTCCAGCCAGCAGGGCTGTGGCAGCAGAACAACAAACAGCTGAGAGAAGCGGAGTCGCGGCCAGGTCCCCACCCCTTCCCAGCATGCCCGAGGGCAGGGCCGCTTTCAAATTTAATGGACTTGTCAAAGCTGGGCAGCAGCTCTCCTGGCCTCCACCTTTGTCTCTCACCCTCTCTGGTTGTGGATTTCCAAGCCCCAGCCTGCCCATGGCTATCCTTCAACCCCGGCCCCCTTTATGGAGATGCCAGAGCTTTTCAGCCCAGGCTCTTTGGGCTGAGGGGGCTTCTGGATGCACCTGAGCAGTCCACAGGCCTCCCCTCTCCTCTGGGTCTGTCCCGTTGCCTACGTGGCTCACTCAGCAGCAGGCCCTGTTTTGAGATGGCAGTGGGGGTAACTACGGGCCTGGGATGATACACCCCACGGCTAATAGACCAATGGGCCTTCCCATCCCCTACCCAGGCCTACCCTCCAAGCATCCTGCATCCAGTTTCAGGGGAAGTGAGATACGCTCCTTTCCACACTTCTCCTTCCTGGGGAGGAGGATTCTCAGGCTGGAAGCCCCCAGACACTGGCAACCCTGGAAGGATGCTCGCTAACTTGACTGCATGGGTAATGGGGAAGCAGAGAGTCAGAAACTTGGGCCTGAATTTCTGGGCAAATATTTGCCTTAGTTTCCTTCTGTGTTGGGTAGAGAGGGAGTGGCTTGCCCACCCACAGAGAGGGATTGCTCAGATTAACAAACAGAAGTCCCTTCTGTAGTCAAAATGTCATGTCAGTGTTTAAAAAGCTGTCACCAGGAGGGGGCCCTCGGCTTGAAGGGGCTTTTGCTGGCAGCCTCCCAGTTGGCATCCACCTCCTGGAAGAGTTGAAGAGAGAGGGTAGGGGTAGATGCGGGCGTTATTCGGAAGCGTGGTTTTGCCAGGGTCATTGGCCTGCCCCTGCTCACATTCCCTGTGCACCTGAAGTCAGCTGGGGGTTGGAGCAATTTGGAGGAATCCTTCCTAGGCCAAGGAAGGCCGAGCTCAGAGGAGTCCTGGAGGCTGCCCAGGCACCCTCACTGCTGAGCCATCCAGCCCAAGAGTCAGGCCACCATGCTGGGCTGTAACTGGATGCCAGCATGCAGGAATGCAGACCTGCAATATCCAAGTAATGATGGCAACTGGGATTTGCTCGAGTAGATGCATCTCAGCCACCTAAGCAAAAAGTACAGCAAGGACTTTTCAATGAGACAAGTGCCTCCCCCTTCTTGGAATTTTACAGGATCTAAACAACAAGGGGTCTCCGTGCAGGTTCCCCCCCACCCCCCGCCAGTCTCCAGCGCAACCGTCTGCCTCATTCCTTCTCCTTCCTCTGCCCCTGCTCGCCCTCCCCAGCAAGCAACCACCATTCTACCGACCACCTTGCCTCCCCGCTGCTCTCTTTCCTGAATTGAGGACCGGGAACCCCATGTTGACAGCTCCTGGTCTCAAGTCAGGCAGCGGGGAGGGTATGATGGCGCTAGGAGGAATCTTCTGGGTTGTGGTTTCTGTTTTATCGACTGAAGAACAAAACAGATAGAATCCCAAATACAAATACATGCAGCTGTAGGAGACAGATAAAAACCTACTAGCCCACAGAACTTCTTTCTCAAATTCAGATTCCAGCAGCATGGAGGTGTGTAGGCAAAAGGGGGGATGAGGAGGTACGGAGCAGGCACATCGGTTCTTACATCCAGGAGCAGCTGGATGGCGAGGAGGGTGTCAGAACACCGGCAGAGCAGTTCAGTGGTGGTCCAAGATCATCGAGTCTATGACTCAAACACTCAGGCACATCTTATGCACCTCTATGGTTAAGTAGGGGACAGCTAAGCAACAAGCAGGAGAGCGACACTGTGCTGTGAGTTTAGCCAGCAGAGCTGCTGGGTGCAGCTCCAGCTGAGCAGCCCCTCCCCATTCATTCCCCAGCTGCCCCTGAGGCCTTCCCCTGCATGTCCTTTGACTTCCTCCTGATTTTTATCATTCTCACCCACTCCACCCCTGTGCCAGCTGCCTGACTGGCAAACTTCATTGTCAGATCTGGGAAAGGACAAATCACTTCACTTCTCTGGGCCGCAATCTGCCCTTCTGGAAAATGGGTATGAGGGCTCCCGGAGAAAGTCTCCTGAATCTTGGTAAATCCATGCCAAGAGAGCCTGGGCCGAAAGGAGGTATTTGCCTTCTTATGTAATGTGGTATTATATAATGCTGGATTACATATCTATATGTGTAATTATATCTCTCTTTAAGATACACACTGGCCCAATTAAGCCAGCAGAACTCTTAAGTCTAATCAGGCCTGTCTTTAGAAGGACCTGTACTGGAGATATGGTGCCATTGCCAACAGTAATGTAATTTTTGCTCAAGAATATTGCTACTTTACTGTATCACTGCTTATGTACAATGGCACAACCCACTCAGTAAGCTTCTCAACTTCCCCTTTCCTTCTGGCACTCTCTCCTTCAATGACTCTAGACTTTTCTGCACAATTGCCTCATCCCCATTCCTTCTGAGCCTCCTGGCCAACCTCCGTATGCTATGGCTTCCTCGCCACCCTGCCCTGGCTATCATGACCCCCAGGCCACTCCTTTCCCTCAATGATCCCAGCATCACGTAGGTGCTCCCTTCCCACCCCATCCCACAATCCCTGTTCCCTTCTCCAAAAACAGCCTCCTGCCCACTGCTCTCCCAGCTCTTTGAACTCAGGACAGGCCAAAATGAAAGGTGTGCTCAGATTAGCTGCAACACTCAAGGGCTCCCAGTCCCACACCCACACACCTACACACACTCTTTGCAGAGCCCAGAAAAGCCCCTCTTTCCCTCCCACAGCTGATAGGAGGCTTGTTCATCTGTAGCTGCCCTAGTCTGGTTGTCAAGGAAACAACAGAATCTCCCTGGGAGCCTGCTTTGTCTCCTAGCAACCAATATCCCACATCCTGCATCTTAAACAAAATACAAAATATCTTGAAAATGAAGGTAAAAATCAAGGAGGATGTATACGATCAGGAAGAGAAAAGCAGAGAGGGTGGCCTTCCAATTAAAAGAGGCCACTGACATTGTAACATGGGGGAAGGCAAAGAGATGAATCCCTCCACAGACCCGATGGGCAGTGGGGCCCAAAGGGATCCTGAATGGTCATATTAACAGAAAATGCAAGCCTAAACACAGAATAAGCCTCTTCAAACATCAACAAACAGCCCTAAGGATTTCTCCCTGTAGTTTGCCAGAACTCAGACGCACAGACTGCAATGGAGTGTGTTGAAAGAAACATCTCCAGAACAGCGAGCAAAATACATTCCATTGGTTTTTAACGAAACATTTCCACCACCCTGGACCTTTTTTCCTGCACGCTGTTCTGCGCACACATACAAAATAAAATTTTTTAAAAAATTTAAATGGGGAAGGGGGAAGGCCACGCCACGCCACGGCAATCAAGTCATCTTCCCTTCCCTAGATAAACCAAGAAAATGTTAGTCCCCCGCCCCCTAAGACCCCAGCAGCCGAAGCTATAGCCCAGGCAAGAGCGGAAGCCCAAGGGAAGTCAGGAGGGGCGCAGACAGGGCCCGGGAGGACGCAGAGAGGGGAAGCGGCGCGTTTCCAGAGGCTGCTTGCAACCCAGCCATAACAGAAATTAATCATTTACTTACACCGCTACCTGTGACGGGGTAATTTCTAGTGTAAGGAACACATCTCTTCCTGCTAAGCACGCTCATTTTAGTGAAATGGCTGGGGTCACTCCGCGCGTGCAAGTTAGGACGATGCCGGCGCCGTCGCGCTGCTGCCGCTCAGGTTCCGTGCCCGGTTCGCGTTAAATCAAAAACTCTGACAGAGAAGCCCGGGCCGGACGGCGGAGAGGGAGCGGCCACGCGCGCGGCACTGCAGCCATTGCCTCTTCCGGATCAGCATCTCCCCGCGCCCCCGGCGCCCAGTGTCATGGAGGCGCGCCGGAGCCAGGCAGCTGGCGGCCGCTCCGACCTCCGCGGCTGGGCCGCGCCGTCGCCAACGGTCCTCTGGCTGCGGAGGCTGGAGGCGGCGAGCAGGAGTGGGCTAGAGTGGCGAGGCCGCCACTGCTACGCGCCCGGGCCCGCTCCGAAGGCGCGGCCACGAAGACGCCTAGCGCCGCAGTCCCAGGGACCGCTCGCGACCTCCTTTTTTCATTCACAAAAAAAGGAAAGGGAAAAAAAAAAGAAAGAAAGAAGGCAGGAAAAAAGGGTGGGGCAAAATCGTACCCAGGACGCCAGCCGTGACAGGTGCCGCCCATCTCGGCGCTCCGTTGGTGGAAAGGGGGCGGTGGGCGGGGGAAGGGGCGGAGAAATAAGGGGATTGGGCGTCTTGGAGGCCCCGCCCCCTGCCCCGCCTCGCGACGCCGCTCGCTCCTTCTACTCTTCCCCCCACCTCCCCCGAATCCGGGAGGGAAGCGGCGTAGGGGGTCTCGACTCGCCGCTCGTGCTGGGGCAGCGTCCCTCTACCTGGCGAGGATCAAAACCTCACTGGACTCCCACGGGGTTTTCCCCTTTCCTCCGGGAGGCTGAGAAAGAACTCCTAGAGCATCCTAGTCCGCCCTGAAAGGGGTGCGAGTTAGGGAAGGGGAACTCGACATTTTTGCCTTGACAGCGTTTCCTCTGCCGGCAGGGGAGTTCTTCTGGCATTTGAGGACCTTCCTCCCTCCATCATCACCCCTATGTCTCCAATTTCCATGCCCCTTAATGTGTTTCAGGGTGGGGCCCTGTACCACCTGCACCTGTTTCCCATCTAAGCCTTTTCCCCCCGTCCCTCTTCTCCAGCAGGCCCCACTTCCATCCCAACTTCACCCTATTGCCACCTGGCGTTCACCAGTATCTTCTGCCCTCCCACGAAGACACTAGCCCTGGAGACCTTACCTAAGGCGCCGTTGGGCTCTCTGTCTCAAAATTCTGTAAAATAGATTACAAGGGATGACATCTGTAATGTGAGTGGTCTTCAAAGGAAGTTTCCATGTTCAAGGCTAGTTTGATTATGAGGATCTTGAGTGCCAGTAATTACAGTAGTCAGCTCAGTCTGGTTTTATCCATCTTGTCGATGACCTCTGGACAATTTTTAAAGCCCAGATTGATGTGCTTCCCACTTAACCCCCTCCGTCACACCTCCAGCTTGTGATCTGAGAATGCAAATCCACTTTAATGCTTGTTTCTGCAACATATAATTGCCAAAAAAATAAAGCCGAATAAAAAATGAATTTTGTATTGTCTGAAGCATGCTTCCCATCTATGTATGCATATAATTGGAAGTTGCCCACCAAGGTGTTCATGCTTTCCGGACTGGTCCACGTTCAGTAAGTGCGCGATTGGTGAGGGATGCTTCCCCCACTTCCTTCTGAATCTACCTAGAGCTGGAAAAGAGATTAAGCATGATCGAGGGTGCTACTAGTTAGGATCCCCTCTTCATAAAACAGAGTAATGGTTTGAACACAAGCTAGGAAAGAAACTCAACTGTGTACAGGTGTGCTCCTCCCACAGTTTTGGTGTTGAAGAGCCTCACCCCGTCCTCTGCGCCAAGAGCACACAGCATGAGATCTCTGCATGGGCACCATGGGGGGGCCAGGGTGTCTGACATCCTGATCCCTCCACCCACTCCAGAGCACCAGCCTGTTGGCTTCACGTCTCACACATCCCAGCAACAGGCAGAGCCCCAATGCAGCACAGAGCAGGAAAAGAGAACTGACCTCTCCCCAAAGTCATGGGGCAACAGGGCTTGCAGCTATGCGCCCTTTCTCTTTTTGGAGAAAGAGGCACCAGATCCCAGCTTTTTCTCCTCATCAGGGCAACTGAAGATTCTCAACTCGAGAGGCAGATCACTACCAAGACCCAGCCCTCAGCCTCTGCCCCAACTGTGGCCAATGACAGGCCTTCTTCCCAGCCAACGCTGGCCCTCAATTCACGCCTCCCAACTACTCAAGACAGCCTCAAGATCTTAGCTCCCAGGCCAAGGATCTGGCTACCATGTTTGGAAATGGAAAACAGGACCATTCCCTGAGGCTGGGTCCCTCGCCAGCAACCAAGGAGTTGTCAGTGGCCCACTCTGAGCCCTCTGTCCCAGGCCCCAGCTCCCAGCCCTCCGCAGCCTCTCAGAGCGCAGGCGGCCTGCCCCCCTCCCCCTCACCTTGCACCCGGCCCACCCCAGCCCTGGGGCGTCCATTTTCCTCCCTTCAGATTACAGTCATTCCTTGGTATCTGCTAGGGATTGGTTTCAGGAACCCTCCGGGAATAACAGAATCCTCAAATGCTCAAGTCCCTTATATAAAACGGCAAAGTACAGTGAATATAGTTGGTGTTCCCTATTCTCAGGTTTCCATGAGGATGCAGAAACCTGTGAATACAAAGCACCAACTGTATACATATTTATTGGAAAAAAATCTGCCTATAAGTGGACCGCACGGTGGAAACCCTTGTTGTTCAAGGGTCAACTGTATGTCTCAAGTCAGGCCTGGGTGGGAAGTTTTTCTAGAAAGGCTCCTGGCCTTTCCTCTCTGCCTCCTGCTTTCTTCTGTTACACACACACACACACAATACACACACACACACACACACACACACACACACACACACACACACACACACACACACACACACACACACACACACACACACACACACGTGCGCGCGCACGCACACCAGCCCCCTCTTCCCAGTTTCTGCAGCTTGGAACCATTGTGTGTTTCTTTGGAGCACTTCAGGACGGGCTGTTGACTCCCCCATATCACTGGCTGGCTGGGTGTCCACACTGCCTTTCTGCTGGTGGCCCAGGCAAGGACCTTCCTCGCCAGGCTTACTTGCCCTGAGGGGACAGTGCCTGGCTGCAGCCTGAGGGGTTCTTTCCCTTCTAATTTCCCACCTCCCCAAAAATCTCTTCCCTTACCACAGTCCTCTTGTGACTCCTCTTGCCCAATGACATAAACCCCTTGAACTTGGCCCCAAAGTCACCCCCTCCATCTATCCCCATAACCACCCTCCTCCAGGACATCAAGCACTGCCGTTTTCCTGAAGCCCGTGAGCAGGAGGCTGGTCTGGGGAGAGAACTCTCCATCTGGTTCTCAGGAATGCACCCATGCAGCAGGCTCTCAGCCAGTGCCACCAAGCCCTCCTCTCCCTGTGGCTCTGAAGGTCCCTCCCTTGTACCAGCCCAAGCTATGCAAACCCCTCCCACTGTGCCTTCCTCCAACCTGCATGCTCCATTTGCTTCCCAAGCAGCTTCAGCCCTTCAACTATTTGTGGGCTGCTAGCCTGTCTTCTCTTCGCCCCTCTCCTGGAACACTCGAGCCTCTGTGAAGCCCACCCCACGGGCCTTCTGACGTGGGCTGACCCTATCTCCAGCAATGCGTAGAGTCAGAGGCTTCTCAAGATGCAGAGCCCCTGCAGGGTGAAGGAGCCGAATCTGGAAGCCTGGAGTCTCTCAGCCTCCTTGCCCAGGGCTCGTGGGGAATTTCAGGTCTCTGCAAGGAGACAGGGATCTTCTGGGCCTTTGCTCAAGTGACTCCCTCCCTCAGCCTGAACACCCTTCCTCTTTCCACCCCCTTCACTTGGATAATGCTTCCTCATCCTTCAAATCTCAGCCTAGATGTCACTTCCTCCAGGAAGTCTTCCATGAGTATCCCCTGCAAAGTCTAGGTTCCCTGCCCTTCCTTTACACTCCCCTAAGAATATCAGTCACCCTGCTGTATCATTGGGTCTCTCTGTCCCTCACAGTACTGAGGATGCTTTAGGGAAGGGACTATGCTTATTCAAAAGAGTACCATTCGTGCTGGTCTAGCGCCTGGCAACAGACACTCAAGAGGGACTCAATAAATCCTGGACACGTGGACGAATGTTTGGGGTACAGAACTTGATGGGGAAGGAGTTGACATCACCCAGTGGCTACTCACATGCTGTCCAGAGAGGGCTTCCACAGGTTGTACTGGCCCCTTCTTCGGGCTGCCATCGCTCTGTGCTCCCTCCAGGCTCCCGGCTGCGCTGGATGGAAGGGAAGGGGGCAGGGCAGGGGAGCGGGAGAAGAAATGAGCACAGTGAGTAATGCCAAGAGGCGCCACCAGGTCGATCGGCCCAAACAGAGGGCCCTGCTCAAGGTAAGAGCATGGCTTCTGCTGTCCAGGCCCGATGGGCTGAGACGCTCAGCCCCGGGGCCAAGAGAGAGGCCATCAAAGGGAGACAAGGGGCTCCTTGAGGGGCAAGAACTGGGGTCGGGGGCCATCCCATGCTGCAGGCATCTTCACATTCTGAACTGGTTTGGTAATTTGGAAAGATCGGTCCGCTGTCCATCAGGAGGCCTGGATTCCGTCCTCACGCAACTGTGTGACGTTGGACAATTCCCTGACCTCTCTGGGCCTCAGCTTTCTCATGTACAAGGGTTGGGTCAGGTGACCTTTGAGGCTGATTGCAGCACTGACATCTGCTATGAGTTCCTAACATGGAAGGCCTATATCTAATTGGCTGTCCTTCTCATTGGAGCAGCTCCTGACCCAAATTGGGACTCAGTAAAATATCAGCTGATGGCTGCCAAGGCTGAGCACAGAAGGAAGCATCTTGGGCTGGAGGGTGGAGGGATTAGACACATGGTAAGAGGCAGAGAGAGAACCTCATTCTGCCATCGTCCCTACTTTCAGCTTCCTTAAGTGGTCAGTCACAATTTGGGGACCAATTCAGCCAAAGAAAATTTTAGAACTTCCGGAGAAATAGGGAATGATGAAGAAAGGGCTTGGAGAGGCCAGCCATAGACCTCTGGAAACAGATGGCACTGTGTCATTTCAGGG